ATATATATATATATATATTTATATATATACTTGGATACATCATAAACAAGCAGAGCCCCTGCTGCTCCTCGATAGTAGCTCCTCGTGACAGCGCGATATCTCTCTTGTCCGGCTGTGTCCCAAATCTGTAGTTTGATTTTGTCTTCGCCGATTTGCAGAACTTTAGACGCAAATTCAACGCCTATTGTGTGGCTGGCGCTCTTCCGGACTGAGACAAACAAAATATATATATATATATTAATATATTTATATATTTATATATATATATAATATGAGTATATATATATATATATATTAGATATGTATAATATATATGCTTATATTTATATATATTGTGTGGCTGGCGCTCTTCCGGACTTATATATATATTTATATATATATAAGTTTATACATATATATATATATTAAATATATATTATAAATATTTATATTTATATATATTGTGTGGCTGAGCTGAGGTGTACGTACACTTGTTCTCAACAAACTGGTGCAGCAAACATGACTTCCCTGCCCCTGCGTCTCCAATTATAATAAACTTAAACAAATAGTCGTGCTGCTCCTTCCCCTGCAGCAGCAGCAGCAGCAGCAGCAGCAGCAGCAGCAGCAGCAATATCAACAGGAGCAATAGCAATAGCAGCAATAGCAGCAATAGCAGCAGCAGCAATATCAACAGGAGCAATAGCAACAGCAGCAATAGCAGCAGCAGCAATAGAAGCAGCAATAACAGCAGCAATAACAGCAGCAATAGTAGTAGTAGCAGCAGCAGAAACAGTAGCAGCAGCAACAGTAGCAGCAGCAATAATAGCGGCAATAGCAGCGGCAGCAGACGATGAACAGAGAGAGAGACAAACAAATAAAAACAAACAGACAAATAAGCAAACGAATAAAAGAAGAATAATAAACAAAAAACAAACAAAAACAAATAAATAAATAAATAAATAAATAAATAGAGACAGACAAATAAACAAAAACAAATAAAACAAACAAAAACAAATAAACAAACAAAAACAAATAAATAAAGCGAGAAGACAAACAAACAAAGGCGAAAAATAAACAAATAAAATATACAAATAAACAAACAGAAAAATAAATAAAGAAGGCGAGACGATAAATAAAATAAAAATAAACAAAGCGAAGAAACAAATAAATAAATAAATAAACAAATAAATAAACAAACAAATAAACAAATATAAAAGAAAGAGAAACATACAAATACAAACAGAGACAAACGAACAGACAGAGAGACATATATACACAACGACGGAGACAGCAGCAAACATTGCTGCTGCTCCTGCTGCTGCTGCTGCTGCTTACCGCTGGCGCTGCCATCGTCGCTGCAGCAGCAGAGAGGCCGCGGCTGAGGAACAGCAGCAGCAGCACAGACACTTCAACAGAGTCTCTCAGAGAGACCCGCAGATACAGCAGCAGCAGCAGCAGCAGCAGCAGCAATAGCAGCAGGAGCAGCAGCAGCGAAACAAAAGCGGAAGCCAGCTGAGGCTTTAAGCTGCGCTTCAAGTCTCCTTCGCAGCAACTGCCGCATCAGCGGTTCATTGCTGCTTCTTCTGCTGCTGCTGCAGTTAAAGGTGTTGCTGTAGTTGCTGCTGCAGTAGCTGCTGTAGTTGTTGCTGCAGTTGCTGCTGCAGTTGCTGCGGCTGCTGCTGCTATTGCTGAGTTGCTTACGAATAACGCCAAAGAGAAGAAGCTTCAGCGGCTCTGTCCCCTTCTAGTCATTGAAATCAAGCGCAGGCGATCTCGCTCGAGCAGCAGCAGCAGCAACGGGAGCAGCAGCAGCAGCAGCAGCTGCAGCTGCAGCAGCGGGAGAAGAGATGATTGGGAATTGGTGTCTGCTGCTGTTGCTGTTGCTTCTTTGAGGGCTCTTTAAACCTTCCTTTCTGCTGCTGCTGCTGCTGCTGCTGCGGTGGGGGTAGTCAGCATCCAAGGCACTGGGAGAGCTTGAGCCCTGCTGCTGCTGCTGCTGCTGCTGCTGTTGCGGCGGCGGCGGCGGCAGCACGTGAGCTGTTGTTGATGTAGTAGTGCTGCAGAAGAAATAATAAAATTTTATTATGCTTCTATTTGTTGCTGCTGCTGTCAAGGGAGGAGGTGTTGTCCTGGGTGTGAACCCTTAGTCTCCTGCTGCTGCTGCTGCTGCTGCTGGGATTTCACCGCAGGCGGCGGCGGCTCGGGAGCAGCCACAGCAGCAGCAGCAGCAGCAGCAGCAGCAGCAACAGCAAACCT